CTTATTATCTCCTCTTCCATATTCATAACATAAACCAAGTCTATATTGTCCAAGAACATTATTAAGTTTTGCAGATTTTAGATAATGATCGAAGGCTTTGCTATAATTTCTATCACAGCCGATTGATTTCTCGTAATAATACCCTAATGCACATTGTCCTATATTATTATGATTTTCGGCTGATCTTCTCGTCCAGTAATAAGCTTCTTTATAATCTTTTAAATCAAGATAGCTAGATCCAAGCAAATATTGTGAAAAAGGATCTTTTTGGGCTGATGTTTGAAAAATTTCTAAGGCTAGTTTATAATCCTGGTCGAGTTTAACTCCATAATAATAAAAAAATCCTAAAAGATTTTTATTTCTAACATCCGCTTGCGGACTTTTTAGATACTCTATTATTTCAGAAATGTTTTGAGCATTTTTCTCAAGATATGAATTTAGTTCAACAGAAATTTTAAATAAATTGTCACAAGAGCTGAGCATCTTGTAAAATAAATCCAATAATTCATTAATCAAAGATGTCGTTATTTCAAGCCGAATCAATAAATTTTGCGAATGTTCATCAAAATCATTGTGAGAATCGCTATAGCCAGAATCGAGAGTACCCGAAGAATATTCTTGTAACTGATTCATATTATGTGCGTGTACATGTAAATCTGTTGATGCATGCACATGTATATCTAATGTCCACTTTACATTTTCGAGTCTGTTAATTATTTCAGGTAAGTTAGGACGAAGTTCTGGATTATTATTCCAACAGGCTTCATATATTTTCACATAAGAAGAAGGGGTTCCAAGTACAGCCTCTTCATAACTCGCATTTTTATTGATGTTAGAGGGAGGACGACCTTTAGAAATTACCCAAAGGAGTACACCAAGACTGAAAATATCTGATTTCTCATTTCGTCTATAGTTTTCCATATCTCTTAAAAATGCTGGATCCATATAATATATTAAGCCATTATCAGATTTTGAATTTGTATGATCATTTGAAAGTTTCGATAAACCAAGATCCGCAATTTTAATCTGTCCATTGTTCACCAGAATATTATTATGATGCTAAATTTATAAAATTTTAATTAATCTTCACATGCTATTATAAAAAACCTTTATCAAATTTTCATCTCTTACTAAATCTCGATGTATAATTCCTTCATCATGAATACATTTTAATGCTTTCGCTAGTTGTATTGCTAAGCTTAACTTTTCCATTCCGTTTAACTTGAGAAAATCAGTTGAAAGATAATTTTTAAGCGTGCCTGAATCGGCATATTCCATAACAAGCATGTATTTCTGATAACTTGGTTCTAATTTTAATTTTATATTATGCTTAATTTCTACAAAATAGTCATTTAAGAGATTGAGAATTAAAGATTTTACCTTTTGTAATCCCATAAAGTCGTATTATATTAGGATGATAGTTCAGTTTCATTAGAAATTTCAACTAATAATATTAAAATACTTTAATATAATGTCAGGTTTTGTTCATACTAATTAAATTTAACAAATTATAGATACTTCTTTAATAAAGCTTTTGCTTGTTTCTTCTTTAAAATAAAGGCTCTTTAAAGCAACCTCAGATGGATCATTATTTAACCACTTTGCTTTAAAAACTTCACCAAATGCACCCCTGCCAATAGGACTTATTATTTCAAAGCTTTTAAAGTCAAACAACCTAATTTGATTTTCTTTTATAGCAGAATTTAGCCATTCATTTTCTTTGATATTCTCGAGGTTTATTTTAGACATGTTTGTTGAAGTTTGCTAATGCACAAGTGTCACAATATTATAATTATTGATAACATGAAACTGTTACATTATTCTAAATATATCTTTTTTTAAGACTTTAATCAAAATTCATAAAACTCGTTTTTACTTCGAAAGTCAATGTCAAGACAAAAAACATATGACAAAGAATGGTTGGAACGTGCATTAAAAGAAAAATGCATAAAATTTTTCGAATTTGAAAGATTTACTATAAAAAGAACTATCGGTGTCGGCGCATTTGGAGAGGTTTATGAGGCCGAATTAGATAAAGGCCAAATGACGGTCGCTTTAAAATGCATTTTTATAAAGAATGAAAAAGAATATGAAAAATTCACAAAAGAGGTATTTATTTATAAGAATATGTTGTTATTACTTATCGCTAACTCAATTAATCTTAATAAATACTTAGCTAATCTTTCTGAGTACTGTAAACCATCACCAAAATATAATTCGTTTGTATGGAATATCCAAAGGTAAATAATAAAATCTCGACTAAAAATTAAATAGTATGGGTTGTGAAAATTTTCGGCATATTACATGTACATTAGATCGGTTTCAAAAGTACCTACTCGTTATGGAATATGCTGATGGTGGAACGCTTAAAGAATATTTGTCAGCTAATAAATTAACGTTAACAAGTGATAAAAAGTTAAGCCTAGCTATACAATTAGCTAAAGGATTAGAATGCATACATAGAGAAGACATAATACACCTTGATTTGGTAAGTTTAAATATTATACTATCAGATCGAAAATCTATTATGTTGCTAAATAATTCCTATTAATTCTATTAATTTAATACTAGAATCATAATAATGTCTTAGTAAGCAACGGACGAATTAAAATTGCTGATTTAGGATTGTCGAAATTTAAAGATGATAATACCATTTCGAAGTCTAAATATGGATTATCAGGATATATGGACCCGGCATTCCTAAAAAATATGAACAATTATCAACGAAATGAAAAGTTTGATATTTTCAGTCTGGGAATTCTCTTAAATGTCATCGCTAGTGGATATGTTAATGTCAATAAATTTGATTATATAAATTCAATAAATACTACAATTAATGAGACTGAAGCGATCAGTCAAGGAATTCCTTTTGAATACATTTCGCTCTGTAAAGATTGCTGCAATGAAAATCTAGATCTCCGTCCAAACGCACAACAAATAATCGAAAAATTAGAGAAAATTGAATGGTCATCAGTTCCATTACGGTTGGAACTTCCAGTAGAGCATCTCGAATTTAAATTAGATGATAATTTTCAATATTCATCTGAAGAAATTTCAGGTAATTGGTTATTACATATCTATCAACCTCAAAGAAATATTAATGTTGAAGAATTATTAGATATATTTTACAAGAAACTCGATTCAGGAGAAGAGCAGCAGAAAATAGCCAAAGATTTAAAATTTTACCATATAATGAACTTTTTGCAAAAATTACATGATATTAAATATGCCGCTTTATTTGGATTTTGCCATCATCATGGAATTATGACCAATCAAAATTTCGAAATTTGTTTTGAGAATTATCAAAAGTCTGCAAGAAATAATGACGGTTTTGGACAATTTCTCTTAGGAGCATGTTATCATGAAGGGGTTGGAACCAGAAAAGATGATACTGAAGCTTATTATTGGTATCGTTGCTCAGCGGACAATAACACTTTATGTGGACAAAATGCTCTTGGAATCTGTTATCAAAATTCAATTAGCTGTGAAAAAGATCTTAACAAAGCCTTTGAGTGTTACCTTAAATCTGCGGAGGGTGGAAATACAATTGGACAAAATAATCTTGGTTTATGCTATGAATATGGAAAGGGAACTAATAAA